TTCTAGTTTCGGTTGTGTTCATTTCGGTGGGTTAGGTTACTCTAGTTTGGGTTAAGTGAATTATAGGCTAGGATAGATCGGGTTCATTTATGCAGGTTAGTCAAGGTTATGTTCCTTTTTTCAAATTTTCCTATACATTATTACATTTTGTGAAAAAAACATTCGAAAATAAATTGGACGTACCAAAAATCAAAGGATATACAGTACAGTAATACCAACATTTTGGAGATGGAGGGAAGCAGAGACGAGATTATTGGTTGAAGTGCCCCAAAAAATGCACGTTTCCACAAAGGATCAATGGAAATAAACAAAATCATACACATTCAATTTTCAAGTTTGTAATTGCACCAAAAATTGCACACCTTCAATTCGTCGAAATCCATACGAGTTGTGTTTCATGGTCATCACATCAACTCATCGGATGCATTTTCCGGTACAGTCACAGCGAAACTCACTTTGAAGAATGTACCTTTCTTTCGCATTGAATATTTCGCGACGCATCAAAGTAACGATGGCAACACTTCGAATAATGTATCCTCTTGTTTCATCTCCGAGTATAAATCCGAACATTGAAAAAATTACGCAACAAAATTGACGCAGGACAGGAGTGAACCAAGGTCACAATATTTTTCTTTCCATGACGCACCCCGCTGACAAGTACTGCACAAGTCCTTGAAGTGACAGAAAATGATCCGCTGATGTTGTCAAAAAATAAAAAATAACGAAGGTGTTCTACGCTAGAGTATCGATTCGAGACAATCGCCTTCTTCACGATTACCTTGAACACCACCACGCATAAAAAGGAGGTCAATCGACCATTTGACAAAAATACAAATTTCCGCAGCCCACGAAACGGCATATTTTCATTACATCAGCGGAATCTCATTTCGTTCGGCGCAATATTATTTCGTGAGGCCCGACGAAATTCGTCGACCTTCAAAAATGCATCCCATCAAATACGAAGCGAATCAAATGCGAATTTTGATATGTTCCGTTCATTTTCCATTGGGTTTGGATAATCTTTCAAAAAAATCCATCAGCCCATGAAAAATCACATTAGCACGCTGATAATCAGAGGATTAAACCTTTTCATCTACAGTGAACACCCAACGAACATACTCGAGATCAAAATCGTTCAATTCATACGAAAAATACGATTGTTTCGAGAAAATCGTGGATTTTTGCTGAACCAAGAAGCTTAGAGAGATTTCTTTTCGTACAATTTCTATGATTTCCAACTCAGTCATAACGAATTGATTGATTTTAAAGCTTCCATAAAAAAGTATATGACTTAAATCCCAAAATGTTTATCCCTGCACGAAATTGTGAGAATGTAAAAGTGGCCAAAAAAGTTGTCGACAGTCGGAGGTGGGGAAACCAGAAGTGGCTTGAGCATGAGTTGAAAAGCGTACTTATTGTTCAGGGTTCATAAACTGAAATGCTTCGAGTTGAAGGTCATAACTCTTGGAATTTAATTCGCTCACATGCTCGGGAACAATCTTGCTGTTCAAAGAATCAAAAATGTTTTGGACAACCCACGGGAATTGTTAGGTCTACCAACTGCACCAAGGGCAGAAAAATACACTGCACTAATGCACCATTGTTCCAGAACAAATCTTCCAAGGGAATCTACGAGAATACTCCCCATATCAGACAATAAATCAATTATTTAAAATACTTCACAAATTTCCTTACCTTCCCTAGATGCATGCCGAAAAGATCAGAGAAAAGATGCAGCAAAATAAGTTGCTCCTCTCAAATGTAATCCATTTACCCGTAAAAAAAC